AAATTTGAGCCATTTTTTCAGACGATTTTGGTTAAACTTCCAGTTTTCTAAAGCAATAAAAGTTTCTAAATGCATTGCATTTTACGACATTTTTTGCATTCAGTCGATGAAAATCCACTTTATGAAAGCCGAAAGTTTCGTCTTTATAACATCTTCAGGTTTTTCTTTAGAAATTTTCAAGTTATGTTCGCCTTTTTAGGCAATTTTGCAAAGTTCTTATTCAAGTGTTAATTTTCTAAAAGTAGAGAGATTTAAATGCTTGTACTTTGCTGCATTTAGTAGAAGCAAATATATTTTACCAACGGTGAAAGTTTCGTTTTTGTAACATCTCCAGGTTTTTTTCAGAAACATTTAAGTTTGGCTAATTTTTTAGGCAACTTTGGATTCAAGTGGTAATTCCCTAGGAATCGACCGATTTACAACTTGTGCTTTGCCGCATTTAGTCGAATCAAATCCACTTTATAAAAGCAGAAAATTTCGATTCAACAGCTTCTACGTTGCGTTTGACGATATTTTTTGTAAATTAAACCTTTTTTCGAATCTGGAAGTTCCAGACTTGGTTCATCTTCAGCCGTTTTGCTGAAAAACTTCAAGCTGGACCCAGAAGTTCAGCCAGTTGAAAAAAACCCTTAGCTTTTTCGAGTTTCAATTTCTTCACAACTGAAACAATTTCAAGTCTGCTGTTCGAGGCATTTTGGGCAAACAAGTTTTTTCCCGCACAAGCCAAAGAAAGACAACCTTGTTCTTCCGGTGTTTGGAAGCAGCTAATTTTGCTTCATCTTCAGCTACTTCCTGGGACATTTCTACTCATTGCCTTTCAATTTTCGCTCGTAATCATTCACTGGCGTAGAATCCGAACAGGCACCGACTTGAGCATTGCGGCTTTTTGAGTGCCGCATCTGTTTCATTAACGATGAGATTTTCCCGGCTCCGTCGTGATTTAAGTTTCCACCGCAAATTCACGCAGTTGTTCGGGTTGCAAGACTCAAAAGGTTGGAGGAGAAAAACACCAACTTCCAAACTTCCAATAAACGCCAACATTATATAATCTCCAAGTAAAGTCTAGGAATTATCATACGACAATCAACGCAATTTAGGGCTAAAATTGAAAAAATCTCTATTTATAGGATAGTTGTGTGAATGCTCTGGCTGATGACACAAAAGCAGCGAGCCCTAACAGGCAATTCTGTGAAAAAGTCGATGCTACTGCCGGTTTGGATTAATGTGTGCGCTAAATTGCACAAGGAAAAAGAGTGCACGTACAGCGGGTCATAAACTCCATCTGGATTATGTAGGTCGTAGACATAAAGCTTTCCAGACGGATGCAAAGCAAACGCTATAAATTTCCGTGAACGGCTGCATTTCGTCTATGCAGCTGGATGGAAATCATCGACTAAGAAACCTGGTTTCTTTGCAAAGCAATCAGTTAGGAAAAGGTAAATTGTTGAGAAAACCTTCTGATATACGTACTTTTCAACTGTGGCCCTTAACCAGCATAAACTCTCGTATTCACGTGCGAATTTAACCAGAGGGGCACTGAGGGCGCGTTTGTTAGTCGAAGCGTCACGACGCGCGGAAAACTGGCGAAAATCTGGAATAGGAGACGCTTAAATACACCGTCGGCCGAGCGGTTCCGGCGCGGAAACTCAGACGATGAGACTGGAAAACCGAAGTTTTCTGCCTGTTTTGTTTCATCAATAACGTCTTTTGTTCATCGCCAGAGCATCCAGACAACAACACACTCTTGTGCTATCAGTCTTGGTTTCGACGTGGCACCCTAAACAATCCCTACTGGATTTTACAAGCAGCCTCAGTTTCCGTATCCAACTTGTTCATGATGTGACTGCCCTTCAGCACAGTGTTTACGGTGGCCCGAGCCAAATATCCCATGGACTGCATGTAGGGAATTTCCATCAGCAGGCTGGTTTTTTCCTCTTTGATGTGGTTGTCCTGCAAGGTTTTTTAGGGGTGGAAGAAACAGCAAAGTTAGCGTGCCTTAAAGGGCCTACCTTTGCGTACATGTGGGCAGCGTCTTTGATCAGCTGCTTGAGATCCAGAGGCTGATTGAAAGTGAGTTCGGGGTTTCTGCCCAGAATCGTGGCGACAATCGTCAAGAGTTCCACTACAAGTTGACGATATTCTGGCACGTTTATGTGGTTTAACATCTGGAAGAATTTAGGAAGGATTCTGATTTAGATTTTGGAGGTAATCATTTGGTAAAAAGGGGAACTGAAGATTTAATCTCGCTGATAACAAGGCCAGTGTCGCCTATAAGAATGGGCAACTCGCAAACTAAAGCATGCATGTAGCGACCGGAAAATGTTCCCATCTCTAGAAGAGGGTTGACTCCAGATGTGCTGAAAGTTTCGTACAAATCGCCCCGAAACTTGATTATTTCCAGCCTAGTAAATGTGGGTCTCAAATTAGGAGTCTTCAGTCAAGTGCACTCTCTTTTTAAAAAATTCGCATCTTCC